TTTCTAAAATATATCTATTTGGTGGTAGGCTAACATGTATAGTAATGTATCTTACAATCTAAACATTAATTATGTAATATTTTACTCAATTAATAAAGATCACGAGAAATGCCTCACTTAACACTTTAAAAAAAAATTTATTATATAATACTAGTGAGTAATCTTTATAATATTTTGGATATCTAGAATTTAATAATTTAATTTTAATAAAATATTGAAATTTTAATTATTTTATAAAAAAATTTTTTTTTTTTTTTTTGGGTGAAAAATGCTTTGTGCATATGTATTTTATTGAGTAATTTATATCCAATTACAGATACACTAAGGTCTATTTAAGTTAACCTCGCTTCTATACCTATAGACTTACCCAATATACCAATTGAACACCTTGAAGATGGATCCATACCCTGGGTGGGATCTTTAGGGGATAGAAAATCCTACTACTAGTTTATAAACTATCTAACCTAATCTAGATCCTGTCTCGATTGCATCCGTCATGAGAGAGGCATAGTTATTATCTTTCAGGTGTATAGTTGTAGAACATCCAGATATCCTCATATATATTTTTTATCCAGAATCTTGAAGAAGGTAAATCACTCTTTGTCACCACTTGCGACTTCCGATTATACCAAATATATTTTTTCAAGATATAATCTTCTTTTAAGCAAGCGCCAGATTAGGATAGCCCCAGGCTAGGATGTTCTTTGTGTGATGGAGTCTGCTGTCGCCAGTTTTGGTTAGAGTTGTGGGCTTATACCGGAGTTAGACCAAAAGCCTTTCTCGTGCAACCTTCTTTACTTCGACCTGTTTTCAGCCCGTGATCGTCAGGAAGACCAGAGGTCCCATCTTCATGTAGCCTAACTAGTTTTGAAAGATGATTTGTAACTGATTGAATATGATATAAATTGGAAGCCGGTCAACTAATCATGAAGGTAATAAATTTTATAAAAAAAAATTTTTTTCATGAAAATTTCCAGTTTGTTATATAAAATATAAATGATATTAAAGAAGTATACTGGTATATCAGAATAGGATTTCTGGCCAAAAAAAAGCAAGTTTGGGGTTTTTGCTTTTTCTTTGGATACATAAAAAAATATTCATAACAGTTACTTCTTTATAAATCTTTTTTGGAGTTTTTTCTATTTTTACTTCTTACAAATGCATATTTTTTATTAAATAACCATATTTTTTTTTTGAAAATTTTCTTTGCAAATAAAAAAACCAAACCATATATTAAAAATATTTGTATTGTTAACTTGAAGAATCAGCAATATATTTATTGTTTACTTTTTACTATTTCTCAATATAATTTATTGCATTACAAAAAACACAAAACTTTTTTTCAAAAAAATTTTTCAAAAAAACCACAATTAGTTTACTCTTATTAACTGATCAATATCTCAAAATTAATTAATTAAATATTACCAATTATTCAAACAAATACATATTACCAAAATACTACATATTGATCAATATAAACAAATTCTTTTTTGATAACAACTATTAAAACAAAATCACATTATCAACAAACAAACCAATTACACCATTAACAGATAAACCAATTATACTATCAATAGACAAACCAATTACTAATCATATTAACAAAACAACAACACAATCATCATAACAAATCAACTATCAAAGAAATATATTATCAACACTACTATATATTTTGAACAGTAACCTGGTCATTTGTAATAAGTATATATATACCATACTTCAGTTAAATGGAACCATCAGCATGGCACACTTATTTGAAGTATTTTTAGCTTTACAATTAGTTTTTTTGCATCTATTTCTTTACTTAGTATTTTATTTATTTTCTATTTCTTATAGTCTTTTTACATATAAATCTGAGTAGATATTCATAACTGCTTAGCATTATCTTTGACAATATATTGGTTTTAATATTTTTTTTTCTTTGCAATTTAGATAGTTTACCATAGGCAAGCTAGTATTATACTTACTGATCAATTAGTTGCATGAGAGATGTTGTTACTTTCTTCATATACAGTATAAATTTTTTTTACAATTTTACAATTATAATAAAGTAACAATATTTATCTACTTAAAAAAAAAATAAAGATTATTAATAGAATAGCTTATTTGAGAATTAAATAAAGTTATATATTAGATGTTTGTTGCAATAAATAAAAAAACAATACTTGTATTGTTAAAAACATAAAGCAGATTAAATTTATACTTTGTAAAAATTGTTAATGTAAAGACAATAAGATCTGATATTCAATACCTGTTCACAAAAAAAAAATAATAATAAAGCAAATTAGTTAATAAATATTTAAAAAATAATTATTATATTAAATAAAATTTAATTATTATAATTTATATTCATAATATAATCAAATTTAAATTTTACTAAAGATGAGATGCCATCTATGTTACAATTTAATTATATACAGTATTTCTTAAAAATAGAATTTTAAATTATATGAATTAAAAAATTTTATTTTAATTATTAACAAAAAGGTTACTTTTTGTAGTGACAGTTGAATTTCGTTTTGTCACGTCATTTACAGAATATATGCGTCTCAGACAAGAATATTTGTAAAAAATTTCTTGATAGAAACGAGCAAATCAATAAAAGGTTTATAGCAAAGATATTTATTTCAATTAAACCCTTGTTGGTCGAAAACATTCATTTTCACCAAGTTTGGAAAATTTTATGTCAATTCTTCAAGATAAAGAATACTTTATTTAGAGAAAAAACTAACAATATCAGAATACAAATTTCGTTATATTGGTTTGGATGAAATTGTCATCTTTATCGGTAACGGTTCTGATCCCTTCCCCTTTCTGATCACCCTCTTCCGCGTCTGCATCGCACCATGCAACGGTTAATGTCACGAGGATGATGACGGCGACAACAGCGACGACAGTCAGTAGTGCATTTTCTGTTTTGAGCGATTGGCTGATGACCATTGAGTCCAATTTGTTCTGCCTCAACCTCGTTTACACTAGAAGGACCGACCGATTCTCCGGAAGAGGCTCGAGTAAGTTCGTCATTAGAAGCTTCCGAGTTCACTTGGGATGAGTTGATAGAGTGAGCAAGTAGAATTAAGGATACGAAAAAAATCGTTAAAAGATAATGTAAACGTGCCATAGTAATTATTCTCTTTGATGGTGCCTTGTCAATAGAATAACATCATTATTTATAACATCTTTCTCTCGAGTACAAATTTCACTTTTGACACATTGAATCATTAAACTAGGTCTAGTTTATCACGTCGTAAGATAGTGAATCAAATTTTTTAGAGTCAGAAGATAATTTATTTCGCGCACGATATTAAACTTACAGATAGTGAATCAAATTTTTTAGAGTCAGATGATAATTTATTTCGCACACGATTTTAAGCTTACAATTATTTGATAAAATAGCGATACTTTATACTTAAAAAGAATGATATTTTAGACTTCCTTGTAGCCAAACACAAAACATTAATTTCGTATTGAAAGATTTGTCTGGTTTATATAGAACATGACTTTCTCTAGATGATACGAATCGTATTTGCAATAAGGAAGATTTGGTTACCGGTTATTGATCGCGGTTTTCAATATCGAGAATAAGGAAAAAATAATTGAAATTTCATTTCCCTCATACTAACGTTTTTTTACTCACCACAATTTTTATAAAATACCATTAAATGCGCCTTCTGGTCTTTCCACACGTTTACTTTCCCAATCCTGCTTGCCGATTTCTTGCAATTTCTGGGCCGATAATATAGACAAAAGAACATGTGGAATAAATATATGATCGAAAAAGGGCACACGACATAAATAAATAAATAAACAAGTAAAAATCCTAATTAACCCAATATTCTTCCTGAAGATTGACTTTTCGCCTTCCTTTGTTTATTTTAAGTTGTTCTTCTTTGCTAACCTGAAATTAAATAAGTAAAAGAATAGGAATAATTTGCAATTCATTAAATCTTACCTTCTTCACTTTATTTTCGTGAACGTCATATCTGGTCTGTGTTAAATAACTAAGGGCAAAGGAACCCGACACGACAGCTAATATCAGCGGAAGACCGAAAAGAACGAACGAGTGCTTTCGGATGACTTGGTGTGCCGGTGGCTTATAGAAAGGTTTGCGCAAGAATTGAGGCATCTTTTAAAAATAACATACGTTGGAACAAAGAGTTCGAATTAATGATACGACTCGGTATCAATGGGAAGTTGGACGCTTTAGGTTTGGGCTATTGATGACTAATACGTGGTACTGATCAGCCACCGCTTCTCTGCTTAGCCACTTTAACTTATTGTCGATTTGTAGTATATAGAATGACTTCTTTCCGCATTTGAACAATACAAAGTTCCTTTACGATCCTTCGACGTTGGTTACAAGGCATGACGACAATGTTGGGACATCTGGTTTTTACATGAAGTCTTTCCTTATCTTTTTTTAATATACAGTTCGTGTGTATTTTTTTTTTTTTTTTAATAAACAATATTGAAATATTCCCAAGTTTGAAGATCATGACAAAACAAAACAGTACAGTACAACAGCTAATATATGAAAAAACAAATCCTTGCCTTAAAAATGTGGAAGAAAGCAAGTGTAAAAAATTATTACGTAATATTAGCAAACGTCATCTGACATTTTGCGACGCTGGCGTTCCATCCTTACGAATGTCCCCAATTGGTTTGTTTTCTTTTATGTAAATCCATGTGTTCCAATCTTTAAACACTGGAAAGGCAAACAAATAGAGTGAATTTTTCGGCTGAGTTTTTATCGGTGAATATCGATTATTTTTAAGCAAAAAACATCCGTAATTAGCGATACGTAGTAGATCACTTCAATATCGGAATACATACTGTACTGTTGTAGTACGTACTTGACTTCGTAAGACATGCAGACAAATTTTTATTTCATTCGAAATAACGCCGAAAATTTGGTCTTCGACTTTAAATTCGAACCCTTTCGGGAATGATATAGCTCGTGTGAGGTTAAAATTTAAAGTTTGTTTAATAGATATTTTGTTAATTTGTTTAAGATAACAACTTTCATTGCGCCGTATAAGAAAGGATATTAACTCAGCCTCGATTAATCTAATCATATCAACAAACATTGGACTTTTCTTTTTCTTTTAAAGTTACATGTTTCAATATATTCCTTCAAATCAATCACGTTTTTGTCTCCCTTCTTTTGAACAAAATGCTCGAATATCGCCATGCGGTTTGCACACACTTATCGGAGTTTCACTATTGGCTTATCCGATTTTGCTTGGAACCATAAGGTGGGCCCTATCGAAACAACCATCGAGTTGCGGCAAGTATTCATCCACAGATGGTACGTTCCTCTTTAACTTTTAATCGGCCTTTCAGGTTGTTTTGATTCCGGATAAACATTGATTCCCAATTTCTTTCAATATCCTTTGCAAGACGAAGACGGTGATATTGATCATTCTCGTCAAGGAAACAATGATTATCCAGAATCACTGCACAAATTCGTGATAGCCACACAGTACCTAGTTGGGTTTGTAACTTTCTTTAACGTTTCATACATAATGTTCGCATATGCCGAGGAAAGGCGCGTCGAAACGGTCATCCCTTCCTATATCATTACCTCCACTATATTTCATTCGATTTCTTGGATTATAAATTGTGGTTTCGTCATTTTTGAGAGAAATGTTCATCGGCATTGGAGCTATTTTACCCAAGGATTTTGGTACTGGGCCTTTCTCCTCGCCAACTTTGAATTGTATAATCGGCTTGTTTATATTTCCAACCCAGATCACGAAGATGGGGACGGCAATTGGTCACAAAGTTGGATGATGTTGTCATTTTACCTTCTGGGATACGTGTGCAATTTTATGCTTGTCATATGCGCGGCTACTCTGACGTTTCTATGGAGACGATCTCACGAAGCTCGAGGTTACGTAGGTGTCAATTTTCAGGTTGGCAGTGACCACGAGAATTCAGAAACCCCTGAAGTAGATCCGCTTGATGCCCCCGATGTCGAGTCGCAATCCACACCCTTTTCAATGGCTGATGATCCCAAATATGCACCGCCTCGTACCTTCAGTGATTTCTTGTCCAAATGTAAAAAGTTGCTACCATTTGTGTGGCCTGCTCACGATATAAAATTGCAAATCGCGATCGTAATCTGCATGCTACTCTTGCTTCTGGGACGTGTGGTCAACGTTCTTCTTCCTTATCAATACAAGGTGCTCGTGGAACGTTTGTCTTCAGGTGAAGTGGTCTGGAAGGAAATCTTATTCTTTGTGGGATTAAGGTGGTTGCAAGGAGACGTGGGAGTTGTGAGCACTATCCAAGGTGTGATATGGATACCTGTTGGTCAGGTAAAGATAAGTTTTTTTTTTTTTTTAATGCGGAAAATTTCTTTATTTTTACCATACATTGAAATCTTTGCTTTATCGGAATTAGTTTACGACACGAGAGATTTCAGTAAAAATGCTTGAGCATTTACTGAACTTGTCGTTACGATTTCACCTCAATCGTAAGACTGGAGAGATATTACGTGTCCAAGGTAACGAATCAATCGTCAACCCAATTACACCACGATATGATCGAAAAAGCGTTAACGAAACCTTTTTACTCGTGACAACCCAACCTTGTTAAGATCGTGGTGTCTCCTCTATTGTCTCCATCCTCTCATCCATTCTATTCGATATCATCCCAACCCTCGTTGATGTCGTTATCGCGGTGATTTATTTCACAATGGCGTTTGACATATTCTTCGGGTTAATTGTGTTTATCACCATGTCCTTGTACATAATTAACACCATCATTATGACCGATTGGAGGACCAAGTACAGGAGGTTATCGAATTTGTTAGATAACGCCATGGAGGCAAAAGCAGGTACGACACGGTTGATTATTATGCATTTTTAATCATTTCCTTCAATTGATCTATTTGAATCTTGAATTCAGTTGACTCGCTGTTGAATTATGAGACTGTCAAGTTGTATGCTGCCGAAAATTTTGAAGGTAATCGAGTATCATGACCTCGTCACAATGTGCGATTGGCATTTTGCGCATTTATATGGAAAATTGTTTTTTCTATTGAAATAGTTGGTCAATACACACGTGCAATCCTGGATTACCAATTGGCCGATCAAAAATCCAACCTTACCATGTATATCCTTAACACCACGCAGAACTTGATAATTCAAATTGGACTTCTGACTGGAAGCATATTATGTGCAACCCGAGTATCAAAGGGAGAAATGACAGTCGGGGATTTCGTCATGTATCTAACTTACATACTTCAGTTATATGGATCTCTTAACTGGTTTGGAAATTATTATCGAGTTATTCAAAAGAATTTTGTGGACATGGAGAAAATGCTTGACCTCCTGCAAGAATCTCCCGAGATCAAAGACCTACCTCAGGCTGCACCTCTAACAATGCAAAAAGGAGAAGTCATCTTTGACAATGTATCTTTTAGTTACGATACCAATATTCCCACATTAAGGAATGTATCATTCACCATCCCGAGTGGATCAACGGTTGCCCTGGTGGGACCATCGGGTGGCGGCAAATCAACGATCATGCGCCTTCTGTTTCGATTTTACGACGTCCAAAAAGGCCGTATCCTCGTAGACGGTCAAGATATTCGCCATATTAAACAACATGATCTGAGAAGTTGCATCGGAATTGTTCCTCAGGTAGATTTCTATCTTTTGATCCTGATATTCTCACACTGATGTAATTTATGTATTCACGTGATATATTTATAGGAAACCGTTTTATTCAATGATACAATAAAATATAATATTCGGTACGGTAAAATTGGGGCCAACGATCAAATGGTTGAAGAGGCCGCTAAGGCCGCTCAGATTCATGATAAAATTTTGGGCTTTACCGAAGGGTATGAGACAAAGGTTGGCGAGAGGGGTCTAAGACTGAGCGGTGGCGAAAAACAGAGAGTTGTGGGTTTTACCGACAATTGACATCTGTAATTTTGATTAAGATTTCAGTTCATTTCAGTCACTTATTTATTCATCCATTTATTTATTTTGTAGGCTATTGCAAGAACTCTTTTAAAGGTAGGTATGTTTTCTCTAAAAGAAACGAATGCCACATGCAGCATGTTAAACCAATGTCGTCATGCTCAATACTCTGTAGAATCCACAAATTGTTCTTCTTGATGAAGCTACCTCTGCACTCGATACTCGTACTGAGCGACATATTCAAAAATCCCTTCGTAGGATGACGGTCAATCGAACGACCTTGATTATAGGTGTGTGAGTTACAATAATGTATTTATCAAGGGCTGTACTATAATAGAACGCCGAACTTATTCGTCTTATGCTACTAAAAAAGCGCATCGTCTTTCAACCATTGTTCATGCCGATCAAATTCTTGTTTTGCAAGATGGTGAAATTGTCGAAAGAGGTAACATTTTGATTTTATTGAGTCTCACATTACATTTAGCTAATGACATCAAATTTTTGCAGGATCGCATGTAGAACTGTTACAAAAGAAAGGAGAGTATTATAAGCTATGGAACAAGCAACTAAAGCATCATGAAAAGATGAAAAAAGAGATAGAAATTTCAGAGAGTATAGATGCTTCGACTGAAGATATTGTGCCGACTGCGGACACTGTTTCGACTACAGGCACTGTTCCGATTGACTCCGAGACTCCCGTTGTTACTGTTGAACAATTTACTAGCGTAGAAGAATCTGTGCCTGATTCGAATGTCGAAGTGTGCGAGCATGAGTTTGTTGAGGAAGAGGGCGCTGATGGAGATGACGAACGACAAACGACGACTGCATGTGAAAGCAGTGACGATGAAGGCGAGGATGCACGTCCAAATCAATCTTAGAATGCTTGCAACTTTATTTGGTGCATTTCTTATTTTCCTAAAAAAATTTGTTTTTTTTTTATATTACATGATGTATATTAACTTTTACACTTCATCGTAGTAATTTAAGAGAGTTGAGAATGTGAATGCATTGACTGCATCACTAATATTGAATGATACATTTGTATTGAAGCTAGAGGAACTTTTTTTTCTTTTTTAATCAAAAACATACTTTAATGCTTTTAATCATAAATTTCACCATCTAAAATTCGCGGATAAATAGAGAGAACGACAATTCATAATGTTCTAAATGATAAAATTAATATGAAATCATAGATCTATTGATATTATAATCTTTGCACAATAAAAACGTGGGTATAATTGGATTGTGTGCAGGAAAATCTTTTTCACCCTGAAAAGATCCTTGTTCATCGAAGGTGATAATTGAAGAAGGTATGCAATCAATCTTGGAATTAAATACCTATCTCCCCTAAAGCTAGTATGATAGATAGATAATGTATTATTAACTAATGGAGTTTTTTTATAAATGATATTCACACTGTTATTTTGATCATAGGCCTTTCCTGGCTTTTCACACACCATTTTATCAGTAAATAATTTCCGATACATATGTTATGGCATTAAAAATACTAATTTCAAACATAACTTCTCAAATGGTGGTTCCTTCATCATGTCTGAACATGAACAACTACATCCATCTTGCTATTATATATAGCTCAGGCCAATTTAAAATGCAACCAAGTCACAATTATTATTATTATTCTAAAATAAAATTATTTACTGTATGTTCAACGAAATTCAAGAAGATACGAATCCTATCTACACATTAATTGTGAATCTTTTGCTAAGCATATATCTGCCTTACCTAAGAATCTCCTTTTACAAGAAAAACCACTAGGAATACAGTCAATGTAGTGATCCCAAATAAAACTAATGAAATCCATAATAGTTTTTTCTGCCAGTGGAAAAAAAAGTCATAATCCCAATAAGGTTCTGCTTGATGTGATGTCAAAACCGTTTCCGATGGTTCCAATAATTGATGACTTACCTCTTTAAATATACCGATTAGAGACATTGATCTCAGAGATGTTGCATCTTGCATAGTGGGTTGATCTGCGGATTGAATTATTTCAATGGGTTGCACCACATCTTGTGCTATTACAAGTGCCTGAACTTCATCAAGCATCGTGTCAAGCTCCTATCATAAATGAATAAAAAAATAGGAATTAAATATTGCCTTGATTATTATAGATGTTATAAAGAGTCTACGATCGAGTGGGAAATGGGGAGCATTATGAGCGAAGCACCTGAGTGAACTGGAGTGGTTTTTCTAATCCTAATTTCGTCCAGTTTTCTCGAATTATCCCTACATCTTGGAATCAGCCGATTTCGTAAATCGAAATAGCATCTCAATAAATGAAAGTAAAAAAATTCTTACAGCAATCGAATTCTCGATCAGAAATACATCATGCTGACGGTCTTTAATTTCAGTGAGGATCATGCGCGTTTGCTCATCCGATGTTTCTAACAGTAACTAAAAATTTAGTAAAAAATATATATATTATTATTATAACATCTTAAATAACAAGAGGACACCATAAGGATAATTATAGTAACTCTAACCTGTGATGTAAAAGCCTGTCCTACGTTATTGTCTAGAAGATTGTCTATTTCTTCTTGCGGTGCATCTGCTTTAACTAAGGACAAATATGAGTTCACTTAATATGGATAGTTCTTCCTTAGCTGTTCTCAACATATGAGACCATCTACCTGTACGATATTGTCCAATTATTCGGTCCTTATATCTTTTCTCGTTTTCAATTTGCATGTTACGATAATCCGTCATCGTATCCATGAAGAATTTAGCCAAGGTAGCATACTACAAATGCCCGTTTTGTATTATTACTAACAAAAATGTCATCTCTTTATTATATATGGGTAATTATTTTTGAAGGCGACAAAAATGCTAGATATGATTTTTTCAGATCCGACTTTTAAACAATACATATATATTATAAATTTTAGGATCACCCCAGAAAATTTCCGGTCCGCCTTCGAAAATAATTACCCATATATATAGTTAAAAAAAAAAATTACCTTCGTTAGACGAATTTGCATTTGATCTTGGCCTACCGTGGATGATCGGTTATTCTGCTTTATTACTATAATTACAAATTAAATTTGTAATCAATTTTATTAAAAAGGTTCATAAAATTCTTTAGCATCGTACCCGTCAATCTTTGATTGATTTGACCGCCTACACGGCTTGTTTCAGAAATCAACAAATTCAATTGTCGCGATATTCCTGTAAATGATGATTTGGAAAACGTGCATATTTATGAGATCGTTTTCAAGGAATTGATTCAATATCAATTTAACAAAGAAAAGGTGCAAACAACACAAACAAAGAAAACAAGAAATTGGGAACGGTGCTCAACGAGAACTCTCATCCTCTGTAACTGTAACCAGTGTCCTTTTATGCAAATCTTCGATTGCTGCCATATTCTCTTTTATCGTACGAATCATCTCCTGAATGGAATTAATCTGAAGTTGCAATTTCGAGGAAAATTCGAGAATTAAATTATTGACTTTTAGGTAATTCCTTTCAATTCGTTTCCAGGAAAAAACCCACCTCCTTAAAAAATTCCCCGAGAGTTCTGCCACCACTAATTGGCACTGCTTGACTACCTTCACCAAGATTGTCCATTTCCACTTCTACATCTCCTGAATTACGAACACCCTCATCATTAACATTTAACTTCGGAAATCAAGGAGATGGTTAAAAAGCAATTAATTCAATGGCCAATCAAACCCTGAAATGAAGCACCAGATACCTACCAAAAAATCGGATGTATGGTCGTGACTCATTATAGTAGTGGTAAGTACAGAAAATTACAAAAATTTAACTATTTGGATTCATCAATCTTTGAAGAGGCGAAGACAATCTTTCCAGGAGTGTTATTCGCCAACACATGAAACGTTACTGTCTTTGTATACGTGTAAATTTATTTTTTTCCAAGTTCCATTTTCGAGTTGTTAACTGCTAAATTTGACAGTGACTGATGTTTTTTTTACATCATGCTGTACTACTTGTATGTTGGGCTCGTAGCGCTTTTTTATGCAGGTAGATCTGCCCTGGTACTTCGAAAATGATATAATTAGACTAATCACCTGTGGTGTCTCATAACACATTTATGATTTTTTACCAAAGATTTACTAATTGTTTTTTTTTTTTTGCCGTTTTTCGCGTTCTTTGAAACTTGGTAACTATACAGGTCTTATTGTTTTTATTCGGAATAGGTAAATCGAAAATAATTACTGTCCATATATTAACCTCGTAAAGATTAGTATGTGGGTTTTCTTTCTTTTGATGTGAATTGAATCGGTTGTAAATCACGGAGAAATGTTACATGTCCAGAAACGAAAGTAACACTAATTATTCTTTCATATACACAAGTATGTATGCTACACTCAATCTCATCTAATCCGGTTCGTTTCACACTGTTCTTTTCTCCGGATAATTTTGTTCATTGGACTAGGATTTCGAAAGGATCATCCATCGACCGGGGAAATCTTTTACCGTATGAATAGACGACCTTCATAAAGGAAAACATTGTACGAATGCTCTATAAGTAGCTAGGCTAATTGACAAATTTGATAATTATTGTGTAGGTTATGATCATCAATTTTTCCCGGGAACTGGTTGAATCCTTAAAGAAAGTTTCCTTTTTCGAAATCCGAAATTTAAACAATGAACTCGAGTGTTCCTAACTGTCAAACAACACTGCAGAAATATTTGCTATCAGGCCATCGATTTTTTTTTTTTTTGTAATAATACATTATGGTAAGAAAAAAAAAATTATTTTTCTTGTTTATATTATAATTAATAGTAATATTGTACCATCTATATAATATTTTGTTTTAATATAATAACAATGATTTTTAAACTTGTAAGCTTTGATTTATTTCTCTTTGTATTAAATTTATCATCAGCCAACCATAACGACAATAAACAAGAGAGATATACTGTATATTATATTGTGAAATTTTTGAAATTTTTTATAAATTTAAATTTGAAAATTGAATAATAATAATAATAATAAATTTCTTTTAAACACAAGTATCAAAATTTATTATAACTGTTCTGTCTAATTCATGTATTACACGGACATTAAAAAATTTATAATTCATGGTTTAAGATTTAATAAATATAAAAAAATCATGTAAAATAAGGAATTTATTATTTTTTTAACTTTATATAATAAATTTTAAAATATGTTAATAATAAATAAAAAAATAGATCGTTCATAATAAAATTGAAATTTATTTTTTATAACATAAAACTCAAATTTAATCAAAATTAATATAATATAACTAAAAAAAATTTTTTTTCCTATTTTTTATCACATAAAAATATGATTTACAGTTAATAATTTAAAAGAAAAATCTAAAAAATTTGTTTATTACAGTTTCAATAATTTTTTTAAATATATTTTATGTGACTTGAATAATTTTATTAATTAATAAATACAATAATAATTTTTTTTAACAAAATAAAGTTTTTTTTTTTAATGTTAAGTGAGATCTTTTTTATGTCTTTATTAATTAAACATAATAAATATAATACATTATATACAAAATCAATAAAGTATAAAATATATAATAATACATATTGACCTGTTACCATGAGCAGATATATTATTGAAAGAAACTTATAAAGAAAAACCTGAAAAACTATCTGCTATGAAAAATAAAAAATAAAAAAACATTTCAGACAAGATCATCAATTGTAAAAAAAATAATAAAAGTTTAATTAAGAAAAAAAAATTAATAATATATATGATAGCCTATATACTACTTAAATATAAGTGAGACATATAGTTAATGTTTTATGGAAAGAAAAATATTGTAATGATAATATATGTTAAAATTTAAAAGCATATTATCTTTAAATCAACAATTCCTTTCATAAGGCATAAATTAAATATGTCTATCTAGGTTACCACTTTCTTTTTGATAGTTGAATATAACTTTAGCAACAATAAAAAAGCATTAACTTAAGCTGCCATATTACAGGACATAACTCCTTGGTATTTAAATTCCATTTATAATAAAAGTATTTTATTTTTATTTATATTGATTAGGCTTTAATTGCCTTTTTTCTTTAATGGTAGCATTGTTGTTTGTAAATTGTAACTCCATTATTAAAATAATAAATAGTTATATAGTTGATAAAAAAATATTATAATTGAGATATAAGTGAATCAAATAACTGAAACCTATTCCAATTGCTTGTTTTGTTGTTTGGATACATATAAAGTAAATATTATTGAAATCTATGCAAAACACAAGTCATATGCTCTTCTAATTCAATAAATTATTAGATTATTTATTATTATTATTGTTGTTGTTATTGTTGTTATTGTTGTTATTGTTATTGTTATTATTGTTATTGTTATTAAGTGTGAAAATATTTTGTTAAAAAAAAAACTGGTTATAAACAAGTTTGAACAGATTTGATATTATTGTTAGAAGTAAAGAAATTTTATTAATTATTTGTTGAGTATAGATCTTTGAATAAGATAAAACTAATTATAGTTTTTGAATAAATTTGAAAAAAATATAGAAAAATAAAAAATAAAGAATAGTATTAGTGTTTAAATAAAAAAGAATAATAATAAATTTGTAAAGATTGTATTAAGACAAACATTAGATCCAATAATTTTGTTTGAATATGTTTTTAGAATTGAATTTATATTAAAAGAAAGAAAGGTGAAAGGAAAAGTGATTATTATAATCATAAAAAGAAAGGTACCTAAAGACAAAAAATTATAAAGAAAGGCTGTTACAAGCTTTTTCCATACAACCAAGAGCTAAGGAAGACTTTCAACTTGCTTAGATCTTGACCAAAGGTCCCATTCCAATATAACAGTATTTCTTAAAGTCTTTATATCCTTTGAATTTAAAGCTTAGTTGCTTTAGAAAATAAAAAGAGAAAGATACTTTTTGAAAAAAAATTTCCTAAAAGAAAATTTTCAAAAAATCAGTAATGAATAAATAAAAGTTTTTTTTTCATATTAACAAAATAAAGTTTTATAATAAAACAAATTTAATTAAACTTTTATTTACTTATATTAATAATTTTTATAAAAATAACCTATAGCTTATTGAAAATACAAATAATATATATTGTATATACTTCTGTTAAATAATAATAATATATATACAATATATATAATATTTAAATCTAAAATTATAATTTAAATTTATAATATATACTAATATAATTAAAAAATATATAAGCAAAAAATTAATGATTTTATTATATCAATAATTAGAATATTAATATAATATAAATCTTTATATTAATTTTTTTTAAAAAAAATAAGTTAATTATATACAATATGTATATATTGTATTTTTGAGTTTTAAAAATTAAATAAAATAAAAAATTATACTTTAATTATTTATTTTTTTATTTTTTTATTTTTTGCTTTTAATCAGATTGCAATTCATTGTATTTATTAATTTTTCATAAAAATAAAACAATAATATATTGAATCCTAAGGCTATATACTAGTACTAAATTGTATATAATACAGAATACCCATTAACAAGTTATTTAACTCTTTAAGTGTAATCATAGGAAATGATAAAATTACTTCTTTTTCAAGATTGCTTCTTGGTCTTGAAAAAAATCATAGTGAGCCTATATTCAGACTGTTACTTCAATACGAACCTATAGTTTTAAAAAGTAAAAAAAAATTTATTTTTAAAAAAAATAAAGAAAAATTGAAAGAGTAGTTAAAAAGTTTGTTCTGGTAAATAAAAACCCTCCAATATTAACTTTGGTTCATCAGGATAAATCCTTTACCATCACCTGCAGCTAGACAAACTATTTAATTTTCACTATTTTATTGTTGATCAAAAATATTTAAGGGCATTTTCAAAAAAATATTTCTTGAAACTTTATACTTAAAAACTTTTAACCTTTAGAAAAAATTGATATTTCAATTGATAATTTCTCTTTCAACCAAATCTCCAAGGATTTATAGCTTCATTCAACTAATGAATAGTTTCAAAACCCCTTTCTTTAACCATTTTTGGAATAATCAACAACAGAGAAAGCTTGTTACTGGATTGGAATGTGACTTCTTTTGATTTTTAAGAAAAAAAAAATTAGTTTAAAAGAAAAAGAGAAAATACTATAACACTTCTTAACAAAAAGAATGCCTCATTGCCTTGCTCTTTTCAATATATTCAATAATATAATTAGATTTTATATTGTATAAGATAAGACATGTAAGAGTTACGTGTCTTATTTATATTTCTTGTTATATATTGTTGGCCCAGAAAACAGTGAGTCAGTCACTTTACCAGTCCAATGTTCACATAACTAAAGTAAGTCGAGACATGTAAGATTGATTTAGCCAGGGCTTTTCATTATTAACAAGCTTTTCTTTTTTTTTCCGACACCAACTCTTCTCTTGATAATTCTGGACTATGTCCTATAGTAGTGATTATTCTTCCTTGTATGGTAAGTTAAGTTGTTAATTACAATATTTCTTATTTGGCATTTCAATTTTTATTATTATTCCTTTTTTTTTTATTTTCTATCTCTCTTTTTGCTTATATATTGGTATTACTATTTATATCATTGCTACTACTAGAAAAACAATTAAGTGAAAATAGACTATCGGGGCTAAAACAAATTATGGGTAAGTTATATAAGCTTCAATGACTACATTTCCTATGCTGATTATTAATGCTACTTCATATTTCCAATGTATGTGATGTGATAGTTACAATATACAACTATACCATATGACTTTTATAGGACTAACAATATAGATCAACCAGTCCAAAAT